CTTCTTGTGCGCATACCTGAAGAAGAATCTTGAGCAGCTCATTTGGCCGTTTGGCTGCGCGGCCAAATGTTAACAGGTATAGGAGTTTTAATATCTGAGGGGATTATAGTCGAATCATCTGTACCAGAATCTAACTTAACGCTAATTTGTGATACGAACGATAACTCCTCTCCCACGACAAACGAGCTTCCTAATTCCTGCGACCCTTCCGATGCCTCCGACTGTGATGAAAACGAGGGCCAATGGCAGGGTTTGAATGTTTCCCGATACTCATTAAGCTGCTGCGCAAGTAGCTCGTTATGCATGGTAACCCGGAGCCCATCCCTATCATCTGCCAGCTGACGACTGCGGACATGTTGAGCAACCTTTTCCTCTTTAGATAAAGTGGGATTAGGTACAATACTCGAGTCTTGACGATTACTCCTCAAGTCTTGAGCAGCAGCCTCTGTAGCCTTTCCGGCCAATGCCTTAATGTTCCTCTTGTACTTTCGTTCCTCTAGTATCGCGTCGTGCTTCGAGTATACGTCTGGAACAATCTGGACAAGGAATACCAGGAAAGGATCGAGGAGGGTATTCTGATATTCCCAGTTTTCGATATCAAAGAGGGCTGACAATGCCTCCTGATTTGGTATAGGTATCGTTGAGTTCTTCACACAGGTATACATACGAGCAATAGCCCACTGCGCTTCTTGAGGAATGATCACCCCAGCTGGAATTGGAATCCTTTGCTGCGCTCGTGGGAAGATCGATTCCACATTGCTCCATAACATGGAGCTCGTCAATTGCAACCACGCCAATCTTATTCTTTACATCAGGATTTAACAGCAAATCACGAAACTCATCGCTAACTGCTTGCTCAGGACCCATCAAGATATGGGTATATAACCCAGCTGCAATCTCCTTGTACAGGTTCGGATTCGTGTGCTTGGTCTCCGCTGTAACAAGGCAAGGCCTGGCCTCTGGTAACTGTTCAATCGACCGCTTCTGCTCCTCTCCAAGCTTGCTTAAAGGAATCAACTGAATGACAATTCTTCCAATAAAGATTGGGATAGCATGGAAGATGATGCTCTTCCCAAAACCAGTCTTAGCAGAGACAATAGTATCCCCATGGCGAAAAACAATTCGTCGAAGAGCCCGAACCTGGTTGATACGTGGGAGCCGACCACCCAGGAGTCGCTGTAAACCGTGGAAGATAAGATCATGCTGGTATGTGGCATTCTTTCGTATCAGACAGGCCTTGACTAACTCTTGCAGTACCGAACATAACTCTTTCTCTGGCGTCGTTGCAATGGTGGATATCCGTTCTTCAATCGTTTTCTGGATAGAAGCTGATTGTAAAGAGGCCGGATTCTGGTATGAGGGGATTTCACGCTGATGGGCGCGGCCTCGCCGCCGCTTCACTCGCATGGAGGGTGACCTGGAGATTGATCCCGTCAAGTGATGACGCAACAAGCAGTTTTAAAACTCTAGTTACAGAATGTACAGTTAGCAGTTTGATATTTAAAAACCATAGGACGGTTTAACAAACCCTTATCTATATTTCATCAACTTTTGGAGCCCACTCAACTTCTCCATATGATGTTATTCGAATATCTCGTCAATTCTAGCAATTCTCATCACGTCGACTCCACAGGAAATTCGCAACAGTTTCTCAGACGTTACACAAGACAGTTGCACTCACGTGACTAGTTTTAACGCTAAACATGGGTTTAATCTGGTTACGGTTTAGCTTAACCAGTGTCATGGCTTGAGTAACGTCTGAGCCCAAGCTGAGATAAGTGGGATGCAGTGTAGGTCTGGGTCGGGCAGGGGTGGATCTCCAGGCAATAAGGCCAACAGTGCTGAAGCTGAGTCAGCAAGGGGTTTGAAGTCCTGAATGGTTTCACAGTTGACAGTGACCACCACTGATTGAACATTGAACAACCAATCGTCCCAGTTGTGCAACCTGACAGCTCGACGTATTCCTTGAAGAAGGACGAAGCTGATGGACTTGAAGAACGTCTTCAGCGCCTCGAAATTCCGAATCACAGGATCGCGGCTTATAGTCCGCTTCCTCGACATACACATCTCCCCTGCAGGAACCAGGAGACACGGATCAAATTAAGGGGGAGCCGAAAGTTAGAATTTCTGGATAGCGAGTGGACCGGGTACTGGTTAGGCGTATCCGTTGGAAGATAAATACGCGCAACGTTTATGGATGCTTTCTGGTACGTTTGAGGTAGATACGCTCACCGGCATGTCAATAGACTCCGCATTTGGTGATTGCCAATGTGATGCTTCGCCAAGTTAAGCCGCGAAAAGCGGGATGTGGCAGCGATGCGAGAAATGAGTACATCAAGGCTGGCCGAGTAATCGACCGGTAAATCTGGGATGGATTTCGGCGTGTCCGTTGTTACAGCAAGCAACGCCATGACCCTTGGGTTGGAGGCTTGAAAGTGCCTAGTCTGCCTCATTAGATTCAAACGACGCCACTGTATCCCTATCTGATTGAGAGTATAACAATATTTGCGGGAGATCGATGGCGTCCCAGGCTGATCTCACATGCTTTATGGAATCGGTTGAGGAACTGGCTGTAGTCGTATAGCCAGTCATGGGAGGGGACAATTGCGCTGCGAGCCATGTCAATCTCTTAAAAGATCTAGATCTGACTAAAGTATGAGTTAAAGAAACCTCGCCGTCTCTTGCTAAATCCATCCTTACCATTTGTCCAGATGACTTACATGAGCCCTCGTCGTACTTGACTGGCAACTTCGGCTGCAGTCCGATAGAGGAAACATGCAGAGTTGACAGCTCCGCGGAGATTCGACTGGGCCGGGTACAATCGAAAAACATCGTCCTGCAAGCCTGACGGAGCTGGTGGTCGGGAAGCTGTCAATAAGGCTGTCGATTTCGGAGTCTCCAAGACTAGGACGGTTCCTCCGTTGGAAGGCTTTATATATTCGTAGACCGTATGGAGATCAGCATAATATCCCCCGATATTGAAAATAGTTATGATGTGTAGAGATAGACTTGGATGATAGCGATCGCTGAGAACACACGGTTCTTGTTCCTTAGGTCTGACGACGGTGGGCCAGGCTGGTCGTCTACACCTCGCCAGTGGTATATGGCAAGTTCCTTGGGCTCTTTCTCAACCAGGAGCAGGCGATCATCAACGGCCCTCAAGGTGAACCTGTTCTCGCGATACACAGGGTTGGACTCATGAAATCAACACCGACCACTTCGGTAGCTAAGCATGAAGCTGCGATTCCTGAGAGAACTCGACGGGCAAATTCAATCCATGCTAGAATACGAAGAGGTGAATAGGAGAGGAACAGGAAGAAGAGGGTTCTCCGTGCCCCACATCCTTCATAGACACAGTCCTGAGGGTAATAAACGTTGCCCTCCGATCCGCCGGTCCACGATTGTTACATGAGATCCAAGAAGCCTGGCTGGTGTCAGGTTTGAGTGTGACAAGTAGATTGCGGCTCTTATCACCTTCCAATCAGTCCTGTCGGGTCAGTGAACTGTGAAACACAATATGGGTTGTACCTGACGATCCATAACGTCTCTCATAGGGCCGATATTAGTAATTAGATCCGATGACTTTCATTTGCAGGTGATGATCTTGGCTTTTGCATGTGGAGCTCCAAGCTCCTCTAGCGGCGGGAGAATGCGGGCTAAATCGGGGATTTTATTCTTTCATCTTCAACCTTCAAGTCAGGAGTTTGGAGTCGAGGTTAAGCGGCTGCATCACTAGATATCGTGAGAGTTTTCCACTGTGAATCTTGCGCATCAAACACATTGCTTGAATCTGTAGTGAAAGTACTGACCAACAGTGGATATGAAGAGTCGTATGCTTGAATCGCTTGTAATCTACAATTCACATGAGGTCCCTGATTATGAAGCCTTATATTAAGGCACCAATTGTTATGACTGGGATTCCCCTTTATTCTCTCTTCCTCTGGCTGGTTGACCAACTGCATCTGGTGCTGCTGTCCGCCGATATCTGCCTGCCCCTTCACTATTTCCGGGCCCCAATTGCCCTGTGCACACGGCATCTCCAGAATTTGGCCTCCGTTCTAGAAGGACTAACGTCCGCTATCGAAGATGCAGGTCATCGCCCCGGCTCTAAATACGTCAGGCTCCCAGCAAATTTCCTTGTCTTTGCTGCTCCGTTGGGGGGAAATGAGGAGGCGGAAGGATTGCACGGACTGGCGCGTCACGATCGAAAGACTTGTCCCTGTCGGTGGTGGGCCGGTAGCTCGTGAAAAGATTCCCTTTGGCGTGGTTTTCTCATATGCTTTGATGAAGAATACATCGCGCTGAGACCGAGGTAGCCGGTGCGCGTGGATATCGATTATGAATTGCCAAATAATACGTAGATGATCGGGTCCTTCGCACTTTCGTCGAAAGTTCCTTTTGAGTTAGACTGGACACCCCATAATTTCCAATCGCCGGACGATGTATATCAACTGTACTTGGACCGAGTTGTCACTTTCAACCATCGACGCAACGACAACGAAGCATCGAAGCCCTCGCTGATGCATCTGCGCGATGAAGGCCACGTGCAGTTGCGGAAGCGAGGAAGAACCCCAAGCCCAAGACAATGGTCGAATGTCGAGTCCGGCTACTAACCATGGCGAGTCAGACTCCCATTCACCGCAATTGCAACACTGTCGTTCTTTAGGAGAAGCCCAGGTTTCAACAAGAATTGCCCCTGATGAAGTGGGCGAAAGGGGGACGGGGGAGAGGCGGTGCATCTTCCTGTTGCACAACGACGCCCCACCACCAAATCTCCCTGTTGCATCAAAACAACAAACATCAACACCAGCAGCAATAATCTCGTCTAACCTCACCGGCTTTACCAATACTTCCACTCGTTTTCCAGTTTCTTCTTCCTCCTCTTCTTTGTCCTCTCCCCACACTCATTATATTTTGGTTCCGGCATCCCACCCTCCCTCTGCCGCCACTCCCTCCGCCGCGGCGGGTGTCCAGGACGTGGCCCCTACGCCTCCCCGCCCTAACCAACGGCTTCAACTCCGGCAGCTTTCGCAACGAATTGCGGCGCTGCTTCTGGCAATTGGCCAACGAGACCGGCGGCTCCTGATGCTGATTTTGCCATACGCACGGTTTTACTGGCAGGCCTTCTCGACCGCACGTCAACGTTGCTGGAGTCTCACGCGCACCGCCTGTGCGATTGGCGGTCTTTGGCTGCTGACCCGGCTGTTCCTGCGCCACGTCCACTCCCCATTCGCCCATCTTCCCGGCGGCCCTCGCTCCCTGTCCCTGCACCCTAAACATCTCATCCAGGCCTCGGTCACTCATTCTAAACACAAACATCTTCGAAAAGTTTCCAAGTCGCGTCGTCGGAATTCGAGAGAGTTGAGGCGGAAGGCGACGGCTGCTGCGGATCGTGACAGTGATAGTGATACAGGTTCCGTTGATGCTGTTGGTCAGGCAGGCTCCGTTGCAGTAATCAACCACCGTCGAAGATTTCCAGTTCGAAACAGTCGCGATTTTTTTACACCCTCGTTTCAACATCAAAATCATTCTGGATATGGCACTCCATGTCCAGTCGCTCATTTGAACTCCTCGTCGCCCTGGCACATTCCGGTCCCGAACATTCACGATCTCGAACATCTTGATGAGGATTCACTTCACGCTCTCATTATGAGTTTGCAAACCCCCCTGAAGTCCCCCCCCCGTCGACGTCGTGGAATTACGGAACCGTTACGTATCACAACCATACCTTCACTATCAAATCCAATGGATCACAACCACGCTCTATCCGACCACATCAATGCTGCTCCCGCATCACCGACGACCAGCACATCCTGCTACACTGCATCCGTCAACCCACCTCCAACCTCGCCAACGTGGCGTTCATCACAATTCTCATCGATAACGGCAGTCGACACACAATCACAACGCACTCGATCTTCCAAACGATTCTCCCTTAACTTCCCTATCGCCATTCCACGGTCCACTACTACCTCAATGGCTTCTGGACCTACCGCTCGCTCCTCCCAGCTTTTCTCCCTCTCCTCCCGTCCCCCATCATGGGCTCCGACAACTACATCGAGCGGCAGTGACCACAGCAGAGGCAACAGTCCTCCAACCTTCTCCCCCAATCGAACATTCATGTCGCCGACACATGGTCACCCGGCCACGTCTCTCCCGGCCCTAACATCGCCTACATTTCTTCCTCCGCCCGAAACCAACTTTCTGACGATCCTTGCTGCCCAGGAGCGCAAGGTTCTGGAACTCCGTGAGGAGCTTGGTAAAGCTGAAGCCGAGCTGGGAGAGCTGAAGAAGAAATGGGAGCGCAGTGAGGCTCGAAAGAAGCGTGAGGAGCTTCGGAGTGGGATGCGTTTGCGTGATCTCGCAGGTCCAGCTGCCATGCCACCCCCTCCAGCGTATATCAATGACGGCGATGGGATCCATGAGATGCAACTGAGATCTGCTACCACCCCAAGGAACAAGCGACTGTCCGACATATACAGTCTAGGGGCTTCAGACCTGGGACCATATACGCATGATCAAGCGGACCTGAAGGAGGAAGAGGACCCCGATGGCAGCAATGCATGGATGACGCAAGAGATGGAACGGCGCAAGTCTCTCCTCCGCGGCAGCACAATGGGTCCTGCACCTGGATCTGCAACCACCCGCTACAGTCAACGCAAGGTCTTCAGCGGAAGTAGACACACTCGTGCGCTCAGCTTGCTGAGCCCAGACAAAGAACGGGTATTTGATCGAAATGCTGCTCTGGACGCTCTGGAAGGACGGACTCGTTCTACATCACCACCCGACGCCTCATTCCCCCCTCCACCTTTTACTCGGGCTTCGGCCGAGCATGATCGAACAGCAATCGCCGAACAGAAACCTCGGTCTCGTCGGCCACTCTCCCTTGCTTCAGGTCTCCCTCAGCCACCCTCCCGATCCAGGACTTTGCCTATCCTCGCTCCCATCGACCAGCTGAACGACGCAATGGAATCGGGCAATGGCGCCCCCGCTGCAATTCTCCGAACAGCCAAGCAAACCGCCGAGGGCTTGAAAGACGGGCTGTGGACATTCTTTGAAGATATCCGACAGGCTACGGTCGGCGAGGAGGGAGCAAGAGAGATGGGGGGTGTCGCACAGCGATCCCTCAGTCCCGGAAAACGAGGGCAGGAAGGCGCTTCTGCAGGTATCCGCACAGGACGGGTCTTGGGCCGTCAGGGTCCGCATCTTGACGGTGACGAGAAAGATCCTGCCGTAATGACCCCCACACGCCCACGCCCAAGGGGACGGGATCGTACCGGCATAGATGCGAATCCAAAAGCACCTGGTGATCCTGACATGCTGTCCACCCATTCGTCAACCACAGACTCCGCCACTCCATCGCAACGAAAAGTCGTTGAAGACGAGCACGGTATGGAATGGGACTCGTGGGCGACGCCCCAAAACCCGAAAGACCCCACCACCAAACCAGAGAACGCCCAGGCGCCCTTGCGGAAGCAAGCCGTGCAGGAACGGATGAGCATGACATATCCGGTGCAACCCGGCGGGAAGGGCAAAGCGAGCCCCGACATGATGGACAGTCCTGGAAGCAGCAACGAGAGTAGGGAGTCCGGTGAATCGGATGGGTCGCAAGCCACGAAGAAAGACGACGAAACGAGTGCAGCTTCGGAGACCCGGCGGACGACTGACGGGAGTGGGAAGGATGCGAGGTGCGTTCTCCCATATCCCTCCTAACCCACCTCTCACCTCTCTTCTCCGCACTCCCACAGCCCAACCTCCACCGCTCCTTGACACCTAACCATCCACCAGCGATCCCACCGCCCGCACCCACCCCTCCCCCTCCACCGAAGTCCCCCGCCCTTCCGCCAGTATCGACGAATCCTTCAGTCCTACCGGGACCCTCCGCGCCCGCTCCAACTCCAGCCGCACATCTCCTTCCAACTCCAGCCGCACACCCCCCTCCGGCAGCCACTCCACCACCTCAGATGCGTTCCCCTGGATGCAGAACCTGCACCTCTCGGACGTGCGGAAGCTCGCCCCCGCGAATCTGATGCGCGAATGGGAACGCTCGTTGTCGCCGCCGGCGGAGGAGCGGGGTGCGAATGCAGAGGAGGGGACGATGCAGAAGGAGGGGTTGATGGAGATTGCGGAGGAGGGGGAGGAGGGGAGGTAGTTGGTGGACGGTTAGCGAGGGGGGGGCTTCATAATCGAAGGGGGTCCGCGAGAAGGTCCCACGGCGATGGATCACGAGGACCTATAGCTTGGACAGACGAGGAGAAGGACGAGACGTAATGTATGATAAAGATAAACGAACGACTGTGTATGATAATGAACGAAGGGCATGAGCACTGAAAATTGCCGATGCGGACCGTTGGAGAAAATCGGGCGCCATGCCAGCTTCGCGGCTTGGGTTTTGGTGGAAAACGGTACATAATAGAGCAGCTGGCTGAGCTATCGTAATTATCCTAAATGAATAGAGCATCTACTACCTACATTGCGACGGCTGGGGTGGTTTCTTTCCTCCCGGACTTTGGAGTTCGATTACAATATTTATACGTAGGCAGGTACCATAGTTGCCAACCCAAAAATCGTGGGTGTCGAAGCGACCGACAACTTATTCTCTACTTCCAACCTTCCAAGTTCCAACCAACCTATTTGGTGGTAAATCAGAAGATTCCGAGTCAGATGGGCTCCCGAAATCAGGTAAGTTCAGCGTCATATTTTCCACTGCCTGCGTCTACGATTTCACTCCGAGCCTCTCCCAAATTGCCACCGGTTGGCGAGTTCATTTTTCAAAGCCTTCCGTCCGTTACATCTTAGATTACTCCGTTCACGGTTCTTATATGACTATGCGGAGAGTCAATGTACTATTCGAGTTCATGATTACCACAGGTTGCACGTCGCTGTGACTTGAAGAGTCACTCAAATGGGTTTCTTGTATTTCAATGATTACGGGTCCCAGGACAGTGCCTCAGTAACCGAAATCGCTTGTTCCATTGACAACTCATCGATATTGCCGATACTAGAAAGTCCCAACTATCCAACACCTTAGAAGCCAGAACTCTTCCAATCTTCACCTCTCCACCTCGCCACCTTGACTTCCGTCATCACTCCCCTCCTCCCACCCACTCCTTCGACTCCGCCTCCTCCCACCGAGCAGTAGGCTCTTGCACCGGCAATGCCACCAGCAGATCTTCCCCACCCTCCTCCGGATTTGCAAACCGGTCCAAACGCCCCGGAATCCTCCCGAATTGATCCACCGCCCACTCCAAAAACCGCGGAGTGCGAGGGGGTGTGCCGGATCGCGATCGACGGTTCTCGTGCGCTGTCGCCTCATGCCCGCTGCGGAGTTCGAACTGCGCTCGTCGGCGCACCCACTCTTCTTCGGATACGGCTGGGAGATTAGGTGCTGAGAGTGGGCGGCGGTGGATGGCTGCTACCGGGCTAGATTTTCGGGATGGCGCTGGCGAAGGCATGCAGATAGATAGGGGGCGCAACTCGATTCCGGTGGCGAAGGATGAGGGGCTGGGTGGTAGGAGTGCCTCGAGGGAGGATAGTTCGTCATCGCAACTGAATGGACTGATCCGGGGCGAAGGGTGGCAGTGAGCGAGGCGGGACCACACAGAACGTCGTTTGGCTTGCTCGTCGTGTTCTTCAGCAGCGGTAAAGAAAAGCTTTGACCGCGTTGAGGAAGAGGAACGGACGGACGGGGACCAGATGACCTTTATGGAAACTTTCTGGAGACCAGGGGTTTGCTGATTGTAGTAGGTATGGGTCAAACTGAGGAGCGTGAAGAAGCACATCATGCTGCCCAATACGCTGGAGAGCAGAAACAGCCAGATCGGAACGGAAGGGATGGATATCGGGTTGATCTTCAGGGGGAGAGGTCCACTGCCGAGCGGCCCAGAGACCCGGGCAGATCTAGTCCCATTGATAGGCGTGGCCAGTGGTACTGCTATGATCGATGTGGTATGCGCTGACGCGGCGGCGAAACAGGGTTGAATAGGGTTCTGGCAGCCCCTACATATGGCTTCAGTGGTATGTTCTTCAGTTGGAGAATCGGCCTGGGTCTCGTATATCTCCACGCTGAAGGTCTCGGATATCGGTGTTGTAGTCGCCAATATTGCCACAGGAGCTTTGCGGCATCCGGTGTAGACAGTTTCCGCTGTGGTGTCCTCATAGGTTGTTTCGGGGTCGGCCGCAGAGGAGCAGGGTGCAACGCAGCTGCGGAGTTCAGTGTTGGCGACCGTGGATGACGCATCGCCAGTAGCTACGAGTAGCTTAAGTCGCTTCTTGCCGACATCGTGGATGTCCTGGAGAAAACCATATCCGCGTGCGATGTCTTCGGCTTTGCGACGAGGTTTGACCACAATACCCTGCACGATGCCATTGAGGACTGCTCCTGGGACAGTCCCTCTGGTATTGTTTGGGTTCCAAGAGGAATTCCCACCCTTCTCATGGAGGTTCAGGCTCTCAAGATCCATATTGAATCTTTGTCTTTGATAATATGAAAGCAAACACAAGGAAAGGGAAGAGCAAGGGATCAAGGCTGACTGTCGCCACCCTCTTCCAAGATGGTACCGGGCCATTCAGTAGTGTATGAAGGATTAAAGAGCGCAAATGAGGTTGCTATGAGAGTGCTTGAAGCAAAACAGCTCAGTGTCAGTTTATAAGAAAGAACATCAGGCCAAAGACGGTCACTTGTGTGAGACAAGAGCTAAGGCTGTCCAGGCTACAGTCATGAACTCGACTCAGTCCTCATTGTTGCAGGTACAGGGCAAATACTGTGGCCTAATAATGTACGTAGAGGTGTTCAATAGCTAGTTATATCGATACTGTAATCATTGACACTATGAGTCGAGGGGGTTGAAAGCAACGGCCCCTTGTAGTCACTCAATCCAGTCAATCCTCGGCGACAGCCGGTTAAAATAGGGGAGCACTATCCCATTCACGATGATATAAGGCTTGCGGTATTGCTATAGATTATCTTTTCACAGGAATAAAACGGTTACGAAATGCCAGTCTTCAAAAGATAGCTTCTGCAGGTCTTGCATACATATTAGTCTCCGATATGTGTCGTGGCTGGTTAAGCAAAGTAGTTTCTGAAGCCTGAGTCAGGAAAGGCCCTTGGTTATGGCATCCACTACAGTCGTATGCACCGCTTTGACTAATTCCCATAACCACTGCACAGAGATCCGCAATGCCCTCCCCTTTATGTCCATCGCCCTGCGGAATGGCGAGCACACCTATCTCCTGTCTAGCCTCATTGTCAGATCGACATATTCTACTCTACTGAGGGACGAATATGCTGTTTTACATGCATATTAGAATTCCTTTTAAGGAGCGTGGATGACTCATCGCAAGACATAGAACTTAGAAGACTACTTTGCTTCACGTAACCAGTGCGGATAGCGCTCGTATAAACTCTGTTCCTCAAGGTGGTAAAGTGTTAATCACGTGGTGCACAGGCCCTTTCACAATGAACATTTTATCCGGAATAAGAACTTAAGAGAAAGGCCTCCTCGAGACGAAGGCTGTTCTACCCCATCCGTATATCGCAGTCCGATGGTAAATATGATACAGCGCTGCCCCATTTTAGCGCAGCAAGGATGGCTCGAAAGCAAGCCCCCAGGTCCACCCAGAAATAGCCCAGTTGGCACTTCTGTCCTGTACGCCATGATATTGTACTCCTTATGAACGTGTTTCGTGCCTCAGAATGGCAAGTCAGTCTCAGTCAAAGCTTTGACGAGCTTAGGCCGGCCCAAGTCAACCGCCTTGTTCCCAATGACCTCTCCCAACTTATCGCCGAGATAAGTTCTTGCATTGGCATGAGGGCTGTAAGGCCGGCTCAAGTCAGGCATATCATCCTCAACAAGCATCAGTCCTTTGAGTATAACTCTGATGACAGCTTCCGCTTCGCTTTTCTTCGCATCGTCTGCAAGGCTTTCCTTGAGGACGCTGTCGTACAACTTCAAGTTCGGGATAATCAAAGCCCGTACTCCGTCGGGACCCGTGAGTCCCTGAAGTCCGACGATCGCACCGTAATGCGTTCCCAACGGTTTATGCGGATCAAGGAATTTCTTCAAGCAGCTACGGGCCAGGCGAGGTTTGAGTTGCTGGCTACTCTTGCTATATTTCTTGGCGATCTGGGTGAGAAGTGAACACGCTAGGTCACGAAGCTCCAGATGTGCAAGCGGGGTTGGATCTGCCGAAGGGTTGCCCAGATGCTTGCCTACTAGGCAAGTGAGGACCGGCACAACGAGCGCCTGAACGTAGGAGTCGAGGGAAAGATGTGGATTTTCAAGGAGAGCGCTGGTGAGGTGCATCATTTGTCGGAGGACGAAGAGGTCTTTGAGGTTGTGGGTCACCTTTTCGGCAACGAAGTTGATGAAATAGGGGACGAGTTGATGCAAACCGGGGTCGGTCTTGAGGCTTACGAGCGCCGCATCGCGGAACTCGTCGTTATTCTCGTCGAGGATTGCGGTGCAGACACGCTCGAAATACAGCTGTAGTTCCTTGGAAAGAATATGTTTAACAGGGGGCCGGAAGCTGAGGTTGTCGGCACCGCTTAGCGTGGCGAGAGTTGGATTTGCTTGCCCTTTCGGAAGGAGCTCTTGGTGTCTCCCATCGGCAGTTGACGGGTTTTGCGGTATCGAGGGTTGAACGCCTTCGACGGCTAGCCAATGTGCTGTACGATCTGTCAGTCGCTAGCTCGATTCCATCAAGCAATCGCAGCATACCTGTGAACGACACGTCTCGGGGCACCTTCGGTAAAGGAGCATTAATGAGCTTCTCTAAATCAACCTCCTCATCCTCGATGTAGAAGAGCGGTTGCCCGGGACCTATCGAAGCTTCTCCAAAGCGGAGCGGTCTTGTTGACTCGTACCCGTACAGCGGCTCGACATCAAGTACTCTCAGCGCATTCGATATGTCTTGTGTCGTCATCGTTGTTCGTTTCGAGTGCCTCATAACTCTCATCGCTTCCAAGAGCACTTGGCCAATCCGATATTCGACATCGCGTGTGAGATTGTCGACGACATCCTTCGGTAAATTGGATACGCCGACGGACTCGGCAACGTCGCGGATGTTGTCCGGATTCCAGATAGACATGGTGATAGGCCAGGAAACTGCTGCTACTCTTGAGGCAAAGCTCAAGGGCAGCGGAGTACACACAGTTAGGTGTAGCGCATCAAAGAAGCCTTTTGTCGCAAAGCTGGGCAATGAATTCGCTTGTGCCTTGTGATGATGACGGGAATTAGTCAGGTGGGCCACAGGATATTGCTGTGAAATGCAAGACAGGCCGTTCCAGCACTTGTCCCGAGTATGTGATAGTGGATTTCAATTGTAAAACGAGTCAACTGTGCTGGTCATGGTCAGTCGCATGTTCACTGCAAGCTGGATGATGGATGGATGTTGATGGGATTTGTCGCCTTGTCGCCTTGATTATCTCATTGATGCCTGACGATTATTTCTGTTTCATTACTTACGCGACCTGGTTACAATACAGCGACCCAACCACCCATTTCATCCAACGCTTAGGGCGTTACCGATATCGCGATGAATTCTCTCAAACACTGAAATATACTTTGTACGTTCAGCTAGCCCTTCCCTTGAGTCCGGGCTGTGCGCATCGAATGCAAAAGCACGCTCCCTCTGGCACCGATGATGCCTTCATCCCCGGGCCGCTCTCCTTCGAAGCAAACATCCAACCGCGATCCAATACCATTTCGGAACCAAAGCTTCCGCCTGCTTTAAGATATGGGTGCTGGCATCGGCTGTTCTAGGCACTGCCTGAGATGATACAGAACCGGATTACACGCATATCAGCCTCAATCCGGAGCAACATTCCGTTCTTCCATTCGGCTCCAGCCCTTGAACATGTGAAACGTGTACGGAGTACAAACGGCTACGATCTTTCACTGTCACATTTTCTAGACTACGATTTGTAGCGGAGCTCCGGACAAGCACCCGGTGCGCCCATACGACGCGTCGCGTTCTTATGTGGACCTTAGGACAAGTCCGTCTTATCCTATCAATCGACATCGTCTAGGAGCGTTGGGTGTCAGTCTGTCAGATGTTCTGCATCCTGCCATATCCCGACGGTTATACCGTACACATCGGATGAAGTAGCAAGCAGCTTAGGCCTGCGTTTGGGATCAGATCGATATGTATAAGTTGGCAAGTTCCTTCTTCGAGACTACTTTTGTCACTCATTTTGCTTTTCTGTCTATTTCCTTCGGTCCGTGTTCCTACCACTCGCTTTTCTCGTCGTATTCTTCATGCAAGCAAAATTCAAATCGCCTAATCCTTCACACTCGACCATATCCTTTACATTGTTCCAATTCGCCAATGAACATGGAATCCGAACTTAGTGGCTTTCGGCCCGAACGAATCATCCCTTCCCTAGACGCATCTTGTCGGGATCGTTCAAGAGATGATCCACCATCGCCTCCCCCTCAACCACCCCCGAGTCCTGCTGGACAATAGAAAGGTATCTATCTGCACAAATATTGAAACTCTAGGGTCCATGCTTACTTGCTGGTGAAGATGCTCAAGTGCACAATGTGCTGGCGGAGGAAGGGTCTCGATATGCGACTTTTAGACTATAGAACACTTGTGAACTTCTTCAGTTCAAATGCTACTCGGACCTTTTTGAGAAGAATAGCAGCCCTCCAGAGATCTCTTGCAGTTTGGAATGTGCTCCAAATTGAGTGCTTATACAACTTCAATCAGGAGGAATATGGAGGAATGGAATTCATGGCGACTCCAAACAATGAATCACGATCTCTTTCCCTTTATCCCCACGTTACAACAATGCTTCCGTGTTCATCATTATTCACTTTGTCTTATCCATGTCACATCCAAATTAAGCCTGTTCTGACCTCCCATTGCAATATTTATTCTTTAAAACTTTACAAACATTGAGTTTTAATGACACCACTGCACACACGCACACAACGATGGCTAACATAGTAGATGACACTGTCAATATCGTTATTCTCGGTGGATCTTTTGCAGGACTTTCTGTAGCCTATGGCTTCCTTGGAAAGATCGATGGCCACCTCCCGATCACGCGAACGGCGCCGAAATACCGAGTTGTTATGGTGTCGCCATCAACCCACCTATACTGGAACATCAGTTTGCCGCGAGCATTAGTCAGCCCTGAATTGATACCACATTCGAAGAGTTTCTTTTCTATTATTGAGTCATTCGCGAAGTATCCTGCCAGTAAATTCCAGTTCGTCCAAGGAGCGGCCATCAATGTTGAGACCACTCAACGCGTCGTCACCGTGTCGCTGGTTGGTGAACCCCGGGACAGGCGGTCGCGGTATTTGACGACAACCTCTTCAGACTCTAACCATCGACTAAGCACGGTACAGAGTTCTACATCTTCCAACCCTAGACTTTCGCAGGTCAGCGAAGATATATAAACCTGATCGACATACGATACCATGCCCTCATGTTGCGAGGGGAAGCTCGGCGGATTCTCTCCTCCTTTTCCTCAATCGCCGGCACGAGCGAACTATAGGTGCAATGAGCACTTTCCACATCAAGCTTATTGATGCAGGCAGCGTCTTAATTTGTGGCGGGGGGCCATCTGGATGCGAAATCGCTGGTCAACTCTCGATCTACTTCAACGAAGGCCTCAAGGGGGGGCGGGCAGAGGATGGCACTCCACGCCAAGGCAAGCTTAGCGATATGGCGAAGCGGCTTTCTCAAATTCTCTCTCCCGTCAAGTCGTCTTCTTCCGGAGAAGACTGGCTATCAAGGAGACCGAGAATCGGTCGCCGTAACAGTTCCTATTCCTTCCTATCTCGATTATCCTTCCCTTTCACAGACCGGAAACACTACAAGACTCCGGCTTCCGAACATAAACCCAAGCTCATCAACCTAATCTCCGGGAACGAGCGTCTCCTGACCCGTTTCCACCCCCCGTCGCGAAAGACGCCGAATCGCAACTTCACCCTCTTGGCGTCAATGTCCTCCCAGGAACTGCCGTCCGGCAAGGCGAAAGTGATCCTCTACAACGACGACATCCTCCTGGTCGACTGCTACACCGGCGCCACCGGCGTGAAACCCAACACCTCCTTCCTCTCTCCCGAGCTCCGAGACGCATCCGGCTACGTCAGCGTCGACCGGACCTTCCCCCACGTCGACCGCGCCGGCGACCGCGTCTATGCCATCGTCGACTGCGCCACCTATAGCAAGAACTACGCGCTGGATATCTACGACGCGTCGCCGGTACTGCTATATAACCTGCGGAACGACCTGAAGGCTCACGAGCTGCGGAGGTAGTACCTGTACGGCGGCGTGGAAGACCAGATCGAGTCGATGTGTGTGAATGCGGTGTTTGTGCAGAACCCGAGGATGACGCAGATGATGCCGCTCACACGATGGGGGGATGACGGTGCCTGGCTTGGCGGTGTGGGTGATGAAAGGGAGGGATTACCAGGTTGATATGGCGAGAAGGGTGGTGAGAGAAAGGGTGGCAATCCCTATGCGCCACACACGTACATAATGCCGACGCAAATGGCGGCGGGCAGGAAGTGAGACATCAGGCAAGCCGTGTGAGCAAATGCCAAGTCAGTGTCCGCGACTCCCTCATGTAGGTTGCGGCTTTAGAACTTAGAACACCTTAATTCAATGTCAAGCGTTAGATTCTACTCGATCAGAATGCATTACTACCAATGAATTAACAATTCTGATTTCTGGCTGTATCATTGTCTTGATAAGCTTTCCCTTGGCAAAATCACTTAGGCTGAAACGTCGTGCAGGCCCGGGTTCAACTGTTGTCTGTCCCTCCCTTGGTCGATTATGAAAGGTTGGGAGGCTCGGCGTGCAAGTGGCAGCTTTGCCCACCCAGATCTGACCTAAATCCACGAACGATTTCGGATTATGCGATGTTAGACTGGCTAATGTGAAGCGCCTAATTTCCTGATTTTAACCCACGAGGGCCACCCACCAGAATTCCGCATCTGATAAGGAAGTGGGGGCAAAGCGAGAACGACAGGAGAGTTTGCAGCGAAGGCAGGCATTGGTCCTGAACCTGACCCCAATTCGGTAATCACGCCTTAACTCCGTCTATCTAGAACGTATCCGTGCCCCATGACCGCCCCACAACCGGAGGTTGTGGGTGCTCCCAGACCAAAAGCACAACCCAGGCCAAAAGTACAATTTTACTACCATCATCTATATATCAGAACTCAGGATGTAAATCGATATAAAAACCGAGATCCTCCGTAC